TCCTTCTTGGCACGTGACTAACCCCCCCCCCTCACTTGTTACATTGCCAGGGAACGAACGGTGAAAAGAAGCGGCCCTCACTTGGTGGAGAAAGAGGGCAAGGGAAGGGTAGCCGGTCCCTTGCGCCACCAAGAAGGAGAAAAGAAAACCCTTGAGGATTTGGGAAGGCAAGGCCCTCGAGAAGGTGAAAGAGAGAGAGCTTGGCATAAGGTCAGTTGACTCAACCATTTTCCCCGACTGCATGGCTAAGGAAAAGGCATGGCCTGATTGTGGGAAGGGAAGGGAAAGTCCAAAGAACCAAGGAAAAGAAAGGAACTTCGGCTTGCGGAAAGGGCAATGTGTTGACCCCATTGGGGGATTGTACCGATCTTTGTCTTTGTGTGGGATTGTGCAGGTGAGTAGCTTGAGATGACTTGAGCGGGACTGGGTCAGGGGTACATGGGCGAAGGAGGGAGAGAGGAACGGATGGAAGGGCCTTAGGCCTAGTGTGAACGCTAGCGCGGACAGGCCTTGGCGTAAGATGCTTTGAAAAGCAAGGGATAGGAAAAGGGGTGTGGCCTTGCATAATGAAAGTGTGTATTGATTCCTTGCATGCAATAAGGAAGCCCGGAAGGACTAAGGGCAGGCAACGAACTATGAATGGGATGCGTGCAAAAAAAATATATAGGGGCCAAGGGAAGGACGGCGTGGCCGCGCCCCGATGAAGCCACGAGGCTGTTGTACTATTAGGGAAATGGTGCGTGGCCTAAGGATGACGCTTAACATGCAAACAAAAGAAGACAAATTCTCAATAAACCCCTCTAGACTACTTGCGTACTGGAAGGAGCAATTGCCTGGCCACATCTAAATGAATCGAGAAAACGCCGCGAGTGACCATAAAGCTACCATCTAGCGTGAGAGCGGAGCTACATCCCCAATGTCAAAGCCCTCTCGCAAACGGCCCATCCCCATCCATCTCATAGCACTAGGTGGGGGTGCCCCTATGACGAACGACCCGCGCCCTGAGCTTGAGCGTGGGCGGGTCGAGCCAAATGGGACCCGCAAAAAGGGTCGACTCAGGCTTGAAAGTCTAACAGGGTACGGCCCTACAACGGGCGTTGCTTCTGAAGGGCCCTGGACGAAGCACTCGGGTCACGGTCACCATGCCAACCCACTCGGACTAGTACACGCATGCTTTGCCGCAAGTCCTTGGTTTTGCTGTTGCGCAATAGAGGTCATACAGGGCATGCCAACCCTTCAAACAAACGCTATTTCTGGCGGGAACTCGGTGTTGATTCTAGCTGTGATCGTCGTCTTGTCTGCGACGTTAAATAATTCCTGAGGAGTTACAGGGGATCTCCTTAAATGCCTCCTGATCAGCCTGATCTCGTGTAAGGCTCGTTGCATGTGAGGATAAATAAAGTGTAGTGGCAGGTTGAGCGTTGACTTGGGGCACAGGGGTGGGCCGGATTGGACACCTTTAGACACACTGCTCAACCAAATGCTCAGGGCGTTGACACAAAGTGATTACTCAAGAGGGATACAGGGAAAGGGTTGGATTCCGACAATTGTTCGTCGTGGCATTAATTAGATAAACTGCCATTCAGCATACATCTCTGCAGGGAACATTATTTTTATTTTTGATTATTTAGTTGTTACAGACTTGACTAACAACTGACAAAAAAGTGCAGATAGAGTACTATATTCTTTGCTGCATTGCAATCTATATTAGAGTAATCTAAAATAGATTTAATATTCCCTATAAGATCTGACATTGGTTGGCACTCAACCAACTAACTGTTTCTATCCAGGTCGACCGAAGTTAGTTGTGTATCATAATTGGTTGTATGTCATGCTGAGGTAGGATTCAGTGTGGATTCTAGCTTAGACACGCACACTGTAGCTCATGAGTGATGCAAGCACTAGTGGCTTTCAATGTGATTGTGCAATCTGGATTTTGTCATCTCGCTATTGCTCATTTTCCTTGCAGAAATGCCGAGAAAGAGTAATTAATTCCATGCATTTTCAAAAATTTTGAAAAGGAATTAATTGGAAATATTTTCAAAAATTGAAAATGTCAAAAACTAATTAATTACTTCCAAGCAGTGCTAGGCCGGCAACCGGCCGGTTGAGCTACCCCAGTCCAACCGGAGCTGGATCAGCCCCGGGGGGGTGAACCGGGAAACCGGTTTTGAAAAAAAGTGCCTAAATATCTTTTTTTTTCTTCTTTTTTTGGCAGATTCTGAGTGCACTCTTCAAGAGCTGTCGGAATCCGCAATAAAAATTTCAACGTGCAATATTTTACAGGGGGCTTCCAGAGGGGGGCAGGGGGTTATTATTGACATATTCAGGCAACTATGGCTTCCACGGGGAGGAGTCAAGTAAGCAAGTTCACTTATCTGACCCCCCCATGGCTGGAGCACTTTGTGGAGTGTGTCATTTGATATTGATACCCCACAAGCTGAACCAGATATGATGAGAGGAGGTCCTTGCCAGAAGTTATAGCTCTTCCAGAGTATAACTCGACAACAGAAGAGTTATGGTTCAAGCTTTCAGCTCGTGGAGGCAGAGCGTTTTCTGTTGGTTGGTTTCTACATAAGGTGAGTTGTCAGTCCGGAGTATCTTGCCTGGCGGTCTGTCCAGATACATGTAGCGGAGCAAGGTCCATTTGAAATAGATCGAGATAAGAATATAGCTTAGGTCCATTCTTGGGCTTGCACCTTGGACGGCTCTGACATCACGATTCCAGAATCCGAACGAATAACTTTTTCCAGAGATGTTTCCACAGATGGCAGCGACGTTGCAGAAGGATATAATCTCAGCAGAACCTCATCACAAGCATAGTGTTCCCCTCGTGGCTGAGGGTGAAAGAGCATCAAATGTTGCCAATGGTAACTGGTCCGTTGGACCACAAGATGACAAATTGGAGAAGGGGCCTACCCGACCCACATCTTAAGAAAAATGTGTGGCAGTTCTCCGCTGCTGATCTGCAAAGATCAGTGGCGGATATCCTCTGCCCGTTTTTCTTAAGAAATGGGGTCCTGGCCGATCTTTGCCGCTGATCTGCAACGATCGGCGGCCAAGATTGGCCACTTTCTGGACTTGAAAAATCCGGGCCTACAGGACCCGGTTTTGAAATTGCGGGGCAGGGCCCACTCCCACAAGGCCTTGGGAGCACATACGCGCCGGCAAAAAAAAAAATTCTGGTCCCAGCGAAAATGCACTGGGGGCAACCGGGAGGGAACCGGCCTGGGCCACCGGGAGCTTTTTTTTTTTAATTTTTTAAGTAATCTATATTCTTCTCTCAATCTTCGTTTGCATATATTCTATGAATTTTTATCTCATCCTCTTGCTACTCTATGTATAGTACGGGGGAACACCAATCAAACCTGGAACTCTCCCCAGCCCACGGGGTAGGTTTTCAGCCCCTCATCACGATGATGCAGGGTGATTAGGCATTGCCTTCGGGGGAAACCGGCGATGCTAATGCTGAGCATCTTTGGCCAGTCGCTTGCACCTCCCCCTACCCCCCTCCAACCCCACATTAGCGGTGTCTAACGCCGAATATCATTGCTGCATAGCAGCCAACAATATTTGGCCAAGGTCCTGCCAATGCTGGCTCGGAGAGCCAACGGGTTATCTCTAGCTGGTAGAACACCAAGCTTGCCCAGGCACATACGTGAGGCCAATGGGGATTGGACCCACGACCTCCTAAATGCAACTTCTCTGCCTTACCAATTGAGCTATTACAAGAATTTCAAAGGGAAAAAAAAGAATAAATAAATAAATAAATAAGTAAAGGAATAAATGAGTATCGAAGTAAATCGAGGGCGGAGCGATCCGATTGCGAGGAATGAGCCCTCACGGGGGCCTTATCAGACATGGACATGTTCTGCGCAGAGGCCCCCAGCAAGCCAAATGCCCGCCCTAAGTGAAGGCGGGCCTGAATATTCACGAGAGCCCAAAATTTGACATTTTTCATATGTGGGTACTCAGGCTGGTACAGCCCACCAGTTGGTTGAGTGGACACGTGCGCCTCCCTAAGCTGCGTCGTACAGTTTGGCCCAGGTCGTGGCAGTTGTGCCTGGGCACATACACACAATGCAGGGCCAGTACATCATGAAGTGGCTACAGGCCTGCGCAAAAGCATCTCTGTTGACGTACATACCCCTGGGCCTTGTGCAAATGCAGGAAACGGCCCAAGTCTAGAGATTCAGGCCATGTCCAACTCTAAGGGGGCCCAGGCCCTCATCTGTAGCACTGGGCCTGGGCGCAGGTACTGGGGCCCAACCGGAAGCCACTGGGAGCTTCCAGCCAGGCCACACGCAGCCAAGCAGAGGCTGCCACTACCATATAGGAAGGAGGGCAGCCAGGGTCTGGCATTCTGGCCCACGTTGGCAATGTGGTCACGCTTCTGCGTTGCTGCGTTAGAGGCTGCGTGTTGTGCTGAGGCCAGAGCGAGTGCGGGGGCGTGTGTGGTGAAGAGGGGCGCTGCTGGGCAGCGAAGCCCGAGCAGCCATAGCCGGGCTGCAGGACACTAGAGGGTGAGAGGGCGATCGGTGGTCTTCAGGAAGGAGGCGAGTGTGGGTGGACAGGGTCTGATGAGGGGAGATGAGATGCATACCTGGTACATGGGAGAGGTCGGCTATATTGTTGAATGCTGATGTCGGTAGGATAGTCGAGTAGTGTAGGCTGGGCACTGGGCGCCAGACAGAAAGGAGCAACTTTGGATACTGTGTTGGTGTGGTCTAAGGGCTTTAACATTGGCTCATTACTTCATTGTATTGCTCTTATTTGGATGGAATCATTTTTTCTCTCTGCTTGTACACGACTACTTGGACATCTGTGTGATTTCGCAACTTGGCTTTTTGTATCTCTTTCCCACTCATATTCCTTGCAATTTGGTATCCGAGCTGGTTTAAGATCGCCGCTTATCTAGCGCTGGTGACATTGTTACTTGGTGCGCTGACGATGCTTCTGTGCGGTAAGGATACTGTGGCGGTGGCTTGATATAGCGGGGCCCAGGTAGAGGGGACGGCCGCTGGAAGGCTGTGGCAATAGCGTGGGAGCTGTGGAGACAGCGGGTGTATGTATGATGATGAGAGCATGCTGATGTGGCATTTTGGCTGAGGTGGCACTGGATCGCGTCGTGGGTGGCACCGAAGCTTCGACCGGTCATCGACATGCACGTCGGCTCAATTGGTGAGAAATCTGTGGTTGGGGGCAGCTATGTCCAGGTATGTTGTTCCCTCACCTTATCTACCCTCTCAATCTCTTCTTACCGTGAGGAAACGAATCCAACGTTTGAATGTCCTCTCTTTTGTCTGATGAGTCGTGAGTGCTCTACCTTGAGAGACAACATTCTTCCCGGTGGCACATCTAGCAGGAGAGGGCGGTGCCTCTGAAGGGCCCTGGTTGAAGCACGGGTCACGATCACCATGCCAACCCATGGGAGTAGTACACGCAGGCCATGCTGCTTTGTCCATTAAGGCTCTTTGCTGCGCTGGTAGAAGGGGTGTGCGGACTGACCAGTCCTATGCAGACGCTATCCAGACTGTCTATAAATATTTCTGGCGGGGGCTGTGATCGTCGTCCTCATTGTGACGTTAAATAATTCCTAAGGACCTTGGGGGTTGTCCTTAAACTGCCTCTTGATCAGCCAGATCAGTTAGACGTAAGGCTCGATGCACGCGAGGGTAAATAAAGGGCAGCTCTGGTCACAAGCATATGCCTTGGGCACAGGGTTTGGCCGCTAATGCACACCTTAGACACTGCCGCTTGATGATGCCTACATGCACGTAGGATATAGGGGAGGAAGATTACAATTGAGACTCAACTGTCAGACACAACTATACCCATCGTGCATACATCTTCTTACTTGGTCTATTTTTATTTTGATTAGTTGGTTGACAGACAGCTAACACCTCACTGACAGCCTAGATGAGAACCGTAATGTTCTACCATAGTCAGTTCTTCTCAAATCTTCTGTAAGATAACTAATCAGAGTAGGTTTAGACTATGTGTTCGGTCTGTGTAAATGCTGTTGATAACTCTTGAACGGTAGTCTAGGTAACACATCGGATATTTATTTCAATTTTTTTTTTTTTTTTAGAACCGGTTAGACGCATGCTGCGGTAGGTTCCAGAGTGGACTCTAGTGCAGACAACATCTGCCTAGCCGATGAGTGGATCAAAGAGTGGTGAAGGTACATCTGGCGACAGAAGGCAGACTAGGCGTGATTCGCTTAGGGTACTTGTAGTGTTCCAGGTCATTTTACCGAGAGAAGAAAGAAGGCTAAGGGCCGAAGCAAGGGCCCTCAATATTGAGATTGTCAGGGAAGCAGCAACAACTGTAGAGAGGACGTTAGCAGTAGCAGAGGCTGGCGCAGTAGCAATGGCTACCTCTGCAACAACATCTGCAGCAACCTCGTCTGGTCCGTTGTTCAGCATATCGTCTAACTCGACCAGTTAGCAGTCCATCTCCGGTACGACAGGAGCCGACACTAGTCAGATGGCGGGCTTGCAGTCTAGCTCACCGCCTCCACACACCAGGGAGCAGATGGAGCTCCAACGAGTAGAAAGGATCCGCTTAAGGCTAGAGGAGGAACTTAAGAAGGCTACCGAAAGAGAGAATGGAATTAGAAATAGAAGTGTCAGACTTGAGGGTAGAGCGGCAGACAAAGCTGCTTTAGAGGGGTTAGATGACTCGACCCTGGACAATACCGCAAGGATTCTCAAGGCGAGCATCATGTCCATGCACGCCTACATGGACAACAATTTGGATGCTATCCAGGACACCCTGGACCAGATCCTGAATGCCATGCACATGCTAGGAGTAAGGCTAGCAATTTTGCCATCGCTACCTTCTCGGCGATGACAGACCCGTATCCGCCTTAGTCTGGTACCACACCAACCAGTACTTCAACGCAGCTTTATCTCAGACTGCTGCTTCTTCCTCTTCTGGTCCAGCGGCTGGAGCTACACCACGACCGCCACCTGTCCCACCAGTGGGACAGCAACAACCTTGGTACTCGAAGACCTCATTGAAACCACCCCCAATCTTCTCAGGAGATAAGAAGGATGAGGCTCTCGACACTTGGTTGAGAACGGTGCGAGTGTGGTTGAGGGCAAAGAGGACGTTGGTAGAGGAGGAAGTGATAACTGCTGCATCATATTTGGAGGGATTGACAAATCGCTGGTTAAACGGATTGGTTGCCGCAAAAGGGTTGGGCAGGTATATGGGTGATTGGCCTTAGACCCACACCCTAGAGAGCTTTATGGATTTGGTGGAAGCGCGATTGCACAACCCACAGCGGCCACATATTGTCACTGATGGGTTGCTGAAACTTTATGCTAAAAAGTACAAGTCCGTGCGCGAGCTCACCTCTGTTGTAGAGCGATTGATTGTCGCCCCCGGGGTACAATATAATCCACATGTTTTATTGATCATGTTCTTAAGGTGTCTTCCCATAGACATCAAGAACTATTAGCCAACGAAGCTCGACTAGAGTATCACACTTTTGAGACCTTTAGCAAGAAGGCTTTAGATCTAGAAGCCATGCTAGGAGGTGCTCGACAACTTCTTACGGATGGAAGAAAGAAGAAAAGGCAACAAGAATGGAAGAAGAAAGGGAGTCGGTTGATCATGGTCGAGGCCGATGGCACTCAGATCGAGATCGAGGATTTCTACGACCTTGTGGACGGAATAGAGATGGACGACGAGGAAGATGTTGAGGGTAGCAACCTCGCTGCTGTAGTAAAAGGAAAGGCAGGTGGCCGCGGCAAGGAAGGTCAACATAGGAGTCAAGGGCAAACCCTCAACCCGAACAAGATAGCGGTTTGGGTTCGAGCGGGTTTGGATCAAGAGGTGTGGCGGGACTGTTATTCGCGGGGTGCTTGCATCAACTGCGACGAGTATGGCCATCATCAGTTCAAATGCAAGAACGCGAAAGTACCGCAAAAGATACCACCTAAGGGTGGGATTCCCTTCTCCCAAGGTGGGGCCTCTATGAGCTCTAGCTCGTGAAACACCTGGGGCCAGTAGAAGTTGTAGCTGCTTTTACTCTCGTTGAAGCGGGTGATGGCATTTCAAGAGTTGGTCGAAGCTATTGACTCCTTAGTCACCCCGCAGACGCATCCTGGCCCAACGATACTCTGCTCGTTGGATGTGTCTGAGGCCTTAGGGGACCTACAAAGTCGTTGTGGGTCAACAAGGGACCCTCGTGAGTCCTGGGTGGCACTAAGTCGCGGTCCTAGAGGTGAGCACTTCGTTGTGGGTCCTAGAGGTGAGCACTTCGTTGTGGAAGTTGGTGTAGGTGATCGCAAGTGCGGTGCCTTCGTAGACATTGGCTCCACGCGAAATTTCATAAGTCGTGACAGCGTTGAGAGACTACGCCTACAGGACCGGGTGCAACGCCTGAGTAGACCGGTCGCATCTACTTTGGCCAACAAAGAACGCATGTTGGTAGAGGACTACGTCAAGGACGTGGTCTGCACTTTCTCCTATGCAGAAGGGGAACTGAATCGTAAGATGTCGTTCCTGGTTAGTGACGACCTACCATTTGACATGTTGTTAGGTATGTACTACCTTGAGGTTGGCAAACCCTAGTTTGACTGGGAGAAGAAAGTACTGAAGTATGAGCTGCCTAATGGGAAGACCGTTAGACTAGCTAAATATAAGGCTACTAGGTTAATTGACTCCTACGGGTGTTTGTGCGCATCAACCTTCAATAATTATTATAAGTAGAACCAAGAGGAAGGTATGTGTCTGGTCTTTGTCTCTGCCAAAGGGGAGGTCGTTAACTCACCCCCCAGAGATAGAGTGTGTTGTCGCTAAGTACCCTGATCTGTTTGAGGAGCCCACACGTATCGTAGACAGGGAGGTTGTCCATGCCATAGAGATCATCCTTCGAAGCAAGATACCCAAAGGGATAATCTATAGGATGGCTCCAGCCGAGTTGGACGATCTCCGTCGACAACTGAAAGAGAACACAGAAAAGGGTTGGATACGGCCTAGCATCTCCCCCTTTGGCTCACCAGTTCTATTTGTACCGCAGAAAGGGGGATCACTGAGGATGTGGATTGATTATAGGGGCCTCAATGCCATCACCGTTAAAAAACGCAGAGCCCCTACCGCGCATCGATGACCTATTGGATAGGGTGTAGGGATGTAAGTACTTTACTACGATAAACTCGAAGTCTGGCTACCATCAAATTGCCATTAGACAGGAAGATCTGTACAAGTTCGTGGTGATGCCCGACCTTTGAAATGCGTCGGGTACATTCCAGCACGCCATGAATAAGATCTTCCATGACTACTTGGATAATTTTATCGTCGTGTACCTCGACGACATTCTTATCTTCAGTAGGATTGTCGAGGAGCATGCCCAACATGTAGACAAAGTCCTTTCTCTCCTCCGACAGCACAAGTATAAGATGAATTTAGAGAAATGCGAGCTTGGTCGCACTAAAATCTTTACTTGGGTCACGAAGTATCCGCGAAAGGGACTAGGCCGAAAGATGCGAAGGTGGCTAGCATTAGAGACTGGCCACGCCCCCAGTCTGTGACTGAGGTTAGATCTTTCTTGGGGATGTGTCGTTATTACCGCAATTTTGTACAAAATTGTAGTACTATCGCATCTCCCTTGACTGATCTAACACGCCTTGACACGCCATGGGAATGGACATATGCATGTGAGGCTGCTTTCAAAAGATTGAAGCATGCCCTTACACATCATGAGGTTCTCATGGTTCCCGATCCTCAAAGGTCATTCATAATGACCACTGACGAAAGCCAATATGGCATTGGCGCAGTGTTGGCTCAGCAGGAAGGGAAAAACTTAAGGCCGATCGAGTACACGATTAAGAAGATGCCATCCAAGAAATTGGCGAAGTCCACCTATGAAAGGGAACCCTACGCCCTCTACAAGGCATTTGTTCACTGGAGGCACTATCTGTTGGGACGGTTCTTCTACTTGAGGACTGACCATCAAACACTCAAGTGGATTGAGACACAACCAGTTCTCTCTGACGCACTCGAACAATGGATTGAAGTCATAAATCAGTATCACGTCAAACTAGACTATATGAAAGAGGAGTACAACAAGGTTGTTGATGCGTTGTCACATAGAGCAAACTACCTAGGTGCGCTGATTACTGAGTTTGGCTTATCTGGCGATGTTACTCGATCTTTGGTGGAAGCCTATAAGGAAGACCCTGTCACGATGGATGTCATTCGCAAACTCGAGGCCAGGGCAAGGCCACATCTGAAGAGTTGTGATGGTGGACGGGTTACTCTTTCTCGAAAAGGCAGGGTTCAAAAGGTTAGTTGTCCCATCTAGAGAGATTTTGCGTAGTTTATTTTTAGGTGAGTGCCATGACACAACGGGACATTTTGGTTACAAGAAAACAAGTGCTAACTTAGTACAACAATTTTGGTGGCCTAACATGCTTGACGACGCAAAGAGATACATGCAAACTTGCCAAGTCTGTCAGCGGGACAAGCGCGGACACAAGCGCCGCTTGGGTTATTGAAGCCTCTACCCATCCCTGCTGGTCCGGGACAGAGTGTTTCCATGGATTTCATGGACACCCTCGTGACCAGCAAGAATGGCAAAAGGCATATCTTCGTCATAGTGGATAGGTTCACTAAGTACGCTAGACTAATTGCCATGCCGGTGTCGGCACCAATACCCTTATAAGGGTAATTGTGCGTACTTTTGCACCTCGCAGAAGGAGCACTCTTGATAAAATTTAAGTAGCGTGTTTTTCGCTCGACCTTGACTGACTTTGAAGTCAGGGACGGCGGGCGCACGCATAGCTTATTCAAAGAGTGTGTGGGCGTGCACTTTGTGGGCATGCGTTAGTTAAATAGTGTGAACAGATGGACCGCTCGGCGGTCCAAGTTAAAAGTAAGCTAGGGGTTCAGATAGCGTAGCACGGGCCGCAGACTTCGAACGTACTGATGGAGTCGCCACTGGTGCGAAGTTAGACCGTCGAAGCTATGGCTAGAGGAAAACTTTCGACTGACTTGCGGAAGGGCGGCATTTTGAGGCCGCACCATGTAAAGTATGCAAGTACTACAATTGACTATAAAGGTATCGACGGTAGGAGTTGTAACAAAATTGAGCTAGGTACGACGCGTGGATACGGCGCGAGCAAAAGTCGGGGTCTTTCCGACCAAAGACGATAAGAGCATGCTCTTTTCGATGAGTACTGCGGGCTACGAGAGCCTCGGCCCGTGACCGCGGCATGGCGGGGAAGTGCGCATGGTAAACTCAGCAATAACCGTCCTCCAAGCAGAGAACATGGCCGTACGGGGCTTGGGCTCAAGGGGCAGACCAAGAGAAGGCACTGGTGCACCTTTGCAGGCCCGGATAGGCTGTAACAGCCTGCAGTTACTCTTCATATGCAGAACTGGGCCTGCTACAACCAGACTTCGGCTTAGCCCTATTGGTTACAGCATTGGACTTTCATCACGCAGATCCTGGGATTGAGGCCAGCATGCTGCAGCGACGGAGCGAGGAGTGCGTTTGGAGATAAACCGAGGGATTGAGGGTCCCGTGGGACTATCCCTTTTGGTTTTGCGGGGAGTCCCGACGGCGGGCCCGATGGGCAGGACTGAGAATCGAGTCCCGGCAGTTCCCGTCCCCCAACTCGTTTTTTCTAGTTTTCTTTTAATTTTTATTAATTATTATTCCTATTTTTTGTTTTTATTTTTTTATTATTCCGTCCCATATTGGGACGCGGCCCGGTACCGGGACTGGCCGTGGATCCCAAGAAGCATAGCTCAGTTGGTGCACCACGAAATGCAGAAATGCAGGCCTGAGCTCGAACTCCGCGGAAGGCAGGTGAGTGAGAGTCTTACCTCACGAGTGAAATGCCGCTACCTTTTTAATTTCCGAGAGGTGGAGTTTGGATATGGACGACACAGCAACAGGGTGCGTCATCCGCCTCTCACGATCTGCTGAGAAAGTTTTGAGTATGAGCATGCCAGTTGGGACCAGAAAGATGCGAACTGTCTGGACGGAGCGGCACAGGGCACGGTA